TTCCGGGCCTATCTCGAAATGTCGTTCTCTTTTGCGGGTCAATGCCCGTTGTGCGGTTTGTTGATATTGTTCGAACTGTTTGTCTCGAATTTCATCAGCCAGAACTTTACGTTTTTCCACCTTCTGGGTATGGTATGGATTTACATCCAATAATAATTTATATTCGTTTCCATCTTTCACATATTCACGACCGGTGTGTAGGAAATATGGCGTGTAGCCCATGGCTGAATGCACTGAAGTTTTAATATCATGAATAATACGAGAAAGATAGTTTTCCCAGGAGGAATGTTCAAGAAGATCAGCCATGTGAGCACGTAATCCAAGTTTAATGCTTTTGTTTGTCGCCTCTACCTGATTGGCTTGTGGATGGTACAAAGGCGTTTTCATGTGTTTGATGTTATAATCGGCGCAAAGCTTTGCGAAAGTTTGACTGATGAATTGAGTACCATTATCTGATATAATGAGTTCGGGGCAGCCATTCACCGAGAACATATGTCGAAGATAATTGACTACGGATATGGCGTTTGCGTTTTTCCTGGGCTGCGCCCAGACATACCGCGAGTAACAGTCGATGGCTACGAAGATCCATTGGTTACGATTTTTAGACATGGGCAGCTTTCCGACGAAGTCAATCGATAATTGTCTACCCGGTCGTTGTGGGTCTCTATATTCGCCGTGAGGTGTTTTGGTGCTCTCATTACTTGGGTTAATGCGGTGGCATAGTTCACATTGCCGAACGTACTGGTAAACGGACTCATACATGTTTGGCCAGTAATAGCGTTGTGAGATACGTCTNTTCCGCACTTTGATTGGAAAATTTCAATCGATGATACAGGAGGTTGTTCTCGATTTTATATCTATATAATGGTTGTTTTGAGGCCATGGCATGCATTTTGTTGTACCATTTATCGCACGTGTTTGGGTCAATGTTGGTCACGGATGTGATTGGGGTACGATTAACGTGAAAATTACTCGGAAGGTCAATTGGATTTCTACGAACGATGTTGAGTAGAGCAAAAGAACGAGACAAGGCGTCAGGAAGATCTAAATGTTTTCCTGGTTTATGAATAATTTTGAGATCGTATGGTGATAATCGGATCGCCCAACGGCATAAACGTCCAGTTGGTTCTTTGAGAGTTTGTAGGCAGCGCAAAGCTGCATGGTCCGTTACCACAACCAATTCACGACCCTCAAAATATGGACGGAACTTTTCGACCGCTAAGAGAACGGCTAGGCATTCCCGTTTGGATGCTGTGTAATTTTGTTCGGCTTTCGAGAATTTTTTAGAAAAATACTGAACCACGCGTTCATTCCCATCATGTTCTTGTACTAGAACAGCACTCGCTGCGATAAGCGAGGCATCGGTATAAACCTTGAATGGTTTTGAATAATCGGCCATAGTCAGAATAGGAGTGGTAGTTAAACACTCTTTGAGAAAGGCTTGTTCAGCAGCGGTATTCCATTCAATGGGTCCTTTTCGGTTTGCTTTATACAATTCACTAAGGGGAGCTGTGATCTCCGAAAAATGTTCAATAAATTTTCGGTACCAGCCCGCTGCACCAACGAACCGTCTGACTTCTTTTGCCGTTTTGGGCCGTGCAAATTCAACAATACCTCGAATACGAGATGGTTTCGCAGATAGACCCTCTTGAGACAAAACGTAATCCAGGAATTCCAATCGTTTACAACAAAAATTCGATTNATTTGGTCAGTAATAGCGTTGTGAGATACGTCTATAACTTTTCCAAACACCCTGATGCGAATGCTGGTTATGATTTTCATCGAGGACTTTTGCTCTGTCAGAAGATGGTACACAAAGTGTCCACAGTATTTCCGCACTTTGATTGGAAAATTTCAATCGATGATACAGGAGGTTGTTCTCGATTTTATATCTATATAATGGTTGTTTTGAGGCCATGGCATGCATTTTGTTGTACCATTTATCGCACGTGTTTGGGTCAATGTTGGTCACGGATGTGATTGGGGTACGATTAACGTGAAAATTACTCGGAAGGTCAATTGGATTTCTACGAACGATGTTGAGTAGAGCAAAAGAACGAGACAAGGCGTCAGGAAGATCTAAATGTTTTCCTGGTTTATGAATAATTTTGAGATCGTATGGTGATAATCGGATCGCCCAACGGCATAAACGTCCAGTTGGTTCTTTGAGAGTTTGTAGGCAGCGCAAAGCTGCATGGTCCGTTACCACAACCAATTCACGACCCTCAAAATATGGACGGAACTTTTCGACCGCTAAGAGAACGGCTAGGCATTCCCGTTTGGATGCTGTGTAATTTTGTTCGGCTTTCGAGAATTTTTTAGAAAAATACTGAACCACGCGTTCATTCCCATCATGTTCTTGTACTAGAACAGCACTCGCTGCGATAAGCGAGGCATCGGTATAAACCTTGAATGGTTTTGAATAATCGGCCATAGTCAGAATAGGAGTGGTAGTTAAACACTCTTTGAGAAAGGCTTGTTCAGCAGCGGTATTCCATTCAATGGGTCCTTTTCGGTTTGCTTTATACAATTCACTAAGGGGAGCTGTGATCTCCGAAAAATGTTCAATAAATTTTCGGTACCAGCCCGCTGCACCAACGAACCGTCTGACTTCTTTTGCCGTTTTGGGCCGTGCAAATTCAACAATACCTCGAATACGAGATGGTTTCGCAGATAGACCCTCTTGAGACAAAACGTAATCCAGGAATTCCAATCGTTTACAACAAAAATTCGATTTGGATGTTGAGATGGTTAAGCCGGCCCCAGCCAGACGTTTTGCAACAATAGCCAATATCTTAGCGTGTTCTTCAAACGTCGAAGTGCAAATTATGAAATCATCCACATATGCGAATGCATGTGGAACCAAATCACGGAAAATTTTATCAATGAGAATGGCTAATGCGGCGGGTGAATTTCTCAACTCCATCGTCATGCGACGAAAAGCATAAAGTCTGTTACCGAATGCAAAAGCGGTTTTCAGTTGACTCGATTTTGCCAAAGGAATTTGAAAGAAAGCTTGAGACAGATCAATACTGGTTAGGTATTTAGCTGACTTTAGTCGTGCTAAAATTTGGTTAGTATCCGTAATTGGATAGGCATTTGGAATGGTAATTTTATTCAGCTCTCTCGCGTCCAAGCACACGCGACATGTTCCGTCCTTCTTCTTTACAGCCAGAATTGGTGACCGCCAAGGGCTTTCTTCGATGGTCATAATGATGTCACGACATCGCATTTTATCCAATTCGGCTTGAACTTGTTCAGCCACATATGGCGATACTGGATACTGGCGTTTCATAAGTTTCATCTAGTTCACCCTCTAAACCGAGTGTGGAAGCGTCAATTGGCTCCAGATCATTACTCATAGATACCTGAGCTTGTTCTTTCCCACTCCCTGGTGGCTGGTTACAAAAATTAATAAAATTATCCGCCGTAACCATTTCGACTTTAGCGGATGCAACTTCTTCAGTATCACCTTTGGCTGTATGTTTTAAAAATCGTTGAGCTTTCTCTTGGTTCTGCACCAGTTCGAAGGCCTCAAGGAATGTCCGTCCCATAATTGGGTGTTTCAGTGAGATAGGTACGACAAGAGTTGGCACCAGGCGGGTAAGACTACCGACCGTATATAATACATCCACTTTACCAATGGCCTTAAAAGAAATCGAATTATCGGCTAGACCAATGGAGGTTTTGGTAGATTGCAACTGCCCCCATCTGTACTTCTCATAAAATGTTTGTGAAATGACTGACTTCGGCTTACCTATCGAGTAAAACCGTATGAGAATGGTTGTTAACCATAACCGTGAGATAATCGCGACGATCGTTCGGAATGTTATATGTCAAACATTTGTCTGAGATAAAGAAAACATCGCGGAGTCGTGGTTGGTTAACTTGGTTGACTGCGTCTTGCTGGTGAGTAAGGACTGGAGCTGAAGTAGGTTTGGTAATTGGTAGTGTTCGTTCAGAACATTTAGTTGATGGTTCTCCGCCATCCCTTTGAGTTTGATTATATTCATTAAGAATCAGAGTAGAATTATTACTGGAATTCGGGACTGAAGAGTTGTCGATTTGTAGAGGGACTTCGGTAGAGTGCGGATTGTTAGAGACAGTGGATTTAGATAAAGTTGTGGATTCTGAGTACGATGGACCACTATTCCCAATCGACTCCCTTACGCGTTTTTTTAACACGGGCATTGATCAGACGCAACCCCCGGTCGTGTACATTTGTAGCAGATCTCCCTATTCGGTTGGGTTCGACACTTTTTGAAGTGATGGCCCCACACGAGACATTTTGCACATCGTACATTTTCGTCGCCCTCAACAGCGAGAAATGGGTAGACGATAGTTCCTACTTTCATATCATTCTCCTTTGGATTTTTGTCGTTTTTATAATCCTCGACTGGTTTCGAATACCAACGTTTCTGAGATGCTTTAATTGGTTTCTTTTGCTTGTTCACGTATGCACATTCCCTGTTATCGGAGTCGGACCCAGGAAACGAAACGGTATATTCCGAATGTGAAGAATCATCCGGTGGATCATGTATTGCCGAAATTTCCCGTGGCGCTGATCGCTGTCTATCCGCACGGGTTCTTTCCGGACGGGGTGTGGCAACAATGAACGAATGTGGTGCAATTCGCTGAGCGAACTCACGCAATTGCTCCAACGTGTGGACTTGTCGAGTGTGGACGAGTTCACGCAGATGATCGGATAAGGTTCCAATGATGATATCAACGTGGTCCCGTTCATCCAGACCACAGGAATTACCATGCAATTGGAATGTCAAGTCATCGATATGTTTCAGCAGTGTTTGCGAACGTGGATCGAATTTAATCTGTGCGTATGACATTATTACTTGGGCCCGAGTATGTNGGCTTACCTATCGAGTAAAACCGTATGAGAATGGTTGTTAACCATAACCGTGAGATAATCGCGACGATCGTTCGGAATGTTATATGTCAAACATTTGTCTGAGATAAAGAAAACATCGCGGAGTCGTGGTTGGTTAACTTGGTTGACTGCGTCTTGCTGGTGAGTAAGGACTGGAGCTGAAGTAGGTTTGGTAATTGGTAGTGTTCGTTCAGAACATTTAGTTGATGGTTCTCCGCCATCCCTTTGAGTTTGATTATATTCATTAAGAATCAGAGTAGAATTATTACTGGAATTCGGGACTGAAGAGTTGTCGATTTGTAGAGGGACTTCGGTAGAGTGCGGATTGTTAGAGACAGTGGATTTAGATAAAGTTGTGGATTCTGAGTACGATGGACCACTACTCCCAATCGACTCCCTTACGCGTTTTTTGAACACGGGCATTGATCAGACGCAACCCCCGGTCGTGTACATTTGTAGCAGATCTCCCTATTCGGTTGGGTTCGACACTTTTTGAAGTGATGGCCCCACACGAGACATTTTGCACATCGTACATTTTCGTCGCCCTCAACAGCGAGAAATGGGTAGACGATAGTTCCTACTTTCATATCATTCTCCTTTGGATTTTTGTCGTTTTTATAATCCTCGACTGGTTTCGAATACCAACGTTTCTGAGATGCTTTAATTGGTTTCTTTTGCTTGTTCACGTATGCACATTCCCTGTTATCGGAGTCGGACCCAGGAAACGAAACGGTATATTCCGAATGTGAAGAATCATCCGGTGGATCATGTATTGCCGAAATTTCCCGTGGCGCTGATCGCTGTCTATCCGCACGGGTTCTTTCCGGACGGGGTGTGGCAACAATGAACGAATGTGGTGCAATTCGCTGAGCGAACTCACGCAATTGCTCCAACGTGTGGACTTGTCGAGTGTGGACGAGTTCACGCAGATGATCGGATAAGGTTCCAATGATGATATCAACGTGGTCCCGTTCATCCAGACCACAGGAATTACCATGCAATTGGAATGTCAAGTCATCGATATGTTTCAGCAGTGTTTGCGAACGTGGATCGAATTTAATCTGTGCGTATGACATTATTACTTGGGCCCGAGTATGTTTGTTGAGGACACGAGCACGAAGTTTCGTGCAAAAATCTTGATAATCTCCGAAGTTTCTCAGTTCGGTGAAGTACCATTGTCGAGCGGCCCCCGTGAGTGTGGGTACCAAACGCGTAACCAATTCATAGTCGGTCCAATCTTATATCGACTTTCAGGCAATAGTA